CGTAGTAACTGCAAAATTATTAAAAAAAGTAGACATCCTAACTCCACACACAAAATCAATCCTAACTTGTTCTTACCTCGGTCCTCAGGCAGCAGCAGGCTCTGCACAATCAAGCTCGTGACTTGTCCGATCACACCCGAGACTGCGAGGAGGAGTCCAGAGACAGAGAGAAGGAAGGGAGTCCAAGAGTGCTAGCACATTCCACACATGCGCACTGCGGGCCGGGACAAGTCAGCTGCTAAGCAACAGGCAGCGGCAAAAACAACAGGCAGGCCGGATAAATGTTTTCGGCAGGCCATATGTGGCCGCGGGTCATAGTTTGAGGACCCCTGATCTGAACAATGTTCTAACCAGGGCCTGATTTCCCATTTTAAGCTGTATTAGTCTGTTTGGGTTGCTATAACAAAATATCATAGACTGGGTAGCTTAAACAACAGAAATAACAACCCCTCTTCTTATTACACCCCTAATCCCATCATGAAGACCTCACCCTTACAACTTAATTTCACTCTAATTACTTCCTTAAGGCCAAATTTCCAAATTCTGGCACATTGGGGTTAAAGCTTCATCAATTCAGTCCCAAGCACAATCTTTGGGATATGGTGGTTTGTAATAAACAAAGGCTGGTTTCTCTTGTCCACTTACACATCTGACAGTGGCAGGCAGGCTGACTTTTTCAGTTTCTTCTGTCTGTTCCAGAACTAACAAGCAGCTAGTTTCTTCTATTTACAGGAAAAAACGCATTGAAACAGTGTGTGCTATCACTGCAGTGTGTTTGAGATAAAAATCTATATGTCTCAAATGCCATATCACAAATAATAAAACAACATACATGTTAGAATTTGAAGCAAATCATATCCATTATCTCTTTAAAATTAAGAGCTATTTTCAATAGCTTATTAATGCTGCTTATTTGCCCACTTAACCACACCTTTTGCATAATTGAGTTGCAGAAGATATAAAGAACAGTTTCCAATAAAGGATATCATGAGAAATTTCATCAATATCAAATAATGTGTTTCTCACTGGTGTTTTACTCCCAGGATTTATAATAACATCATTCAAGTAACAGCATTTTCACTTCCAGCTATAAAACTCCTCATGTCCCCAAACACCAGGAATTGTATGATTCAAGTAGAAACTCACCCATGGTGGGGTGGGAATCTTCCTGCTTTTCATTTCTTACTGTGCTTTATGATTTCACAAGTTCTAGCAATATATTTCTACTCTTATATTTTTCAGGTTGAAAATTTCTTCTGCATATGAGCCAGGGAACCCTGTTTCTCATTCATCTACATTGTTTGTTCTCCTTAGTTATACAATAGAGCATAGAGGTTGTGAGCATAGATTCATAAGGCCTGAGTGCGAATCCAGTTGTCACCATTTAGCCACAGTGCCTTCTTTTCCTTCTTTGCTGAAATTGGAATATTAATAAGTACCTCATGGCACTGCTGTGAAGATTAAATGATCTATTATATGTAAGGAGCTTAGAAAAGTTCCTGGTATGGACTGAACAATTAATAAGCATGAGCAATTATTTTTCTGTGCCATGGAATAGCAAAAATTATAAATTTGAAATATTTATTGAAATGCTGAATTTACAGAAACAATTAAGATTCTAATTCTCTCACTAGTTTCATAGATTCTCTGTTTATGACATTAACAACCTAATAATAAATGTGTTATAAATGCATTGCAGAGCCACTATTGATTTAATATAATATTTTATTATTGATTTCAAGCATGATGGGTTAGTTGCTGTTTAAATTTTTGACTACAAGAGTTTAGATTTAGCAGACAATTACAGAGAGCGTAGAATGTATTCTACAGCAATAAACAAATAATTTGGGGCATTACAGAAGAACTATAAAAAGAGTCTTGTACAAAAAAATGAGTAACACATCGGAGAGATGAGACTTCAAATCACAAAAACAAAATGCTAGAAGATATACAGCATAACACTTTAATTTCACAAATGGGAAAACTGAGGCTCAGCTGTACTGATTACCTAAGATCCGAGTCATTAATTTGGACTGGTGATTTGTAGTAGAGTTTTCTTCACCCATTTTTGAAGTAGAGATCAATAAAAATAGTATGGTATATAATAGTTTTACGCATGTCAATTATCAGAGAGTTTTTTCAATTCTAAATTGTACTATAACATTTTCATTGGTGGCTTTCTCTTTACTACTTTTTATGTATTCACAATAAAAGGCTACTAAAATGATATTCTTTACTCAATGATTTATTCGTCATGACTACTATGATTTTCATTTAAGAATCATTTTTTTTCTGAGGTTTATGACAAGTTGTATCTCAGACTGTATCTGAGACTGTATCTACAAAGCCAGCCTGCAAAATGTAGAATCAAATTGAATTCAGTTTCTTGAATGGAAGGTGTATTTGAATTGAAACGCATTGTTCCTTCTTGCCACCTAAACTGAAACAAGAATTCAAGAGGAGCCGAAACCGGTTTGGCTTGGTGGATAGAGCGTCGGCCTGCGGACTCAAGGGTCCCAGGTTCGATTCCGGTCAAGGGCATGTACCTGGGTTGCAGGCACATCCCCAGTGGGGGATGTGCAGGAGGCAGCTGATCGATGTTTCTCTCTCATTGATGTTTCTAGCTCTCTATCTCTCTCCCTTCCTCTCTGTAAAAAATCAATAAAATATATTTTTAAAAAAAACAAAGAATCCAGAGGATGCTCACGAAGGAGCCACTCTGTGGATAAACACGTGACACTGTTGCAGATTGAGCCTTTTGCAAATATTTGGTTCTGTATTTTTGCACAATTACAAAAAGTTTCCCACTGATAATACAAGTTCAGTTTGCCAATATGATTCTTAAAAGATTCTTAAGTGTTCCCAAATAATTATTCATCACATACGTAAATTTCAGAAGCTACAAAGTAAATATAAATTAGAACACCTGAAGAAAATGAATTATGTAGAACAATTCATTAAATCATTCTACAAAATTACTATTTTCTTTGGGGTTTCAAGATAAAGCTAAGGCATGTCCTACGGCTCCCATCTATTGCAATAGTTAAGTTTATATTTTTAAAGGAATTAGAGTCACTGTTTTCCATTGCAAAACCAGGTATGGGTTTTTATAATTACTGGATCACAGATTTATTTTTAACTACTAACAAAAATAACCTACACAATGGAATCCCCAAATGAAAACATGCAGTCCTCATTTATAAGCCATCTGTGTCTCTTTCAAGCACCAGTGAGATGCTGGTTTTGTTTTTCATGTCAATTCAAGAGCATATCAAATTGATGAGCCATCTATTTTTCAAAATATAATTTTTCCCAACAGGGATATTCAACATCTTATATTAAGGTATAAAAATATCAATACTGCTGTGATGCTTGAATGGGAAATAAATTAATAGAGATTTGAAAACTGGGTAAACCTGAGTTTATTTGATATAAATTAGCAATAATTATTCTCTACTCCAATGTTGACATTGGGAAAATGAAGAAAAAGAATGGCTAAGAGTCTAAATAATCAACAGATGCAAGTTATTAATGAGCATCTCACTTTGTCTATTGGCACAGAATTTCAAGTGGGTCAGGTAATTGTCACAAGTCATCGTCAGCCAATGGGGTAATATTGAGAAAATGGCACAGATGTTAGGGCATGCTAATCTATAATGTCTTGACTATAATGAGACCTGCTTTTGCATTACATTTTAATTTTTTTTATATTACAAGTATAAATCCTGGTTTTTAAATTAAGAAAAAAAACATAAGAAGGTACACAGAGAAAAATGGGGATAGTCAATAATAATGATGATTCCATCACTAGGTTAACTAATCTTAATTGTTTGGTGTATTTTTCCAGTATTGTGTGTCTGTGTGTGTGTGTGTGTGTGTACAAACTATATCTTGAGTACATTATTTGTATAGAAATTAAACAAATTGTTTAATATGCTTAGTTTAAACTTTATAGTGAAGTGTTCATATTATCAAATACTCTTTAACATTCTTAAATTATTGAATGATTTTCCCATAGAGAGATGTGGCATAATTCATTAATAATTTTTCTCTTATTATAAATTTTCTACATTTTAATAGATTTAAAAAAAACATTCAATAAATATCTATTTATATGATCATTTTTGATACTGTTATTTTTCATCTTTAAAGTTCAAATTCAGGCGTTTCATCAGCTTATGTCTATTTGTTGGTTTTGTTCAATATTCCTATCTTGACATTGGTAAATCCTTACAATAAGAAATTTAAATATCACCTCAGGAAAAAAAATCAACTATATCTTAAATTACTGTCTATATTCTAGATATTATAATAATAAACTTTTTTATTTTTCAGATCAATTTTTGTGTATTTTTATCCTTATTTATATTTATTTTTGATGTTGAAATTCCTTTAGATAGAAATCCTCAAGTTGCTTTCTAATTAACTCAAGTTTTCAGAAGTACACATTTTTTTTGGATTATTTTTAGAATGTTAAAAATGTTTTATTATAAAAAAGATAAAAATGCTTTATTATAACTGGGTAAATTAGGAGGAGATGTTATTGTTACAATAGGCTAACATAAATATCATGAGTAAAGAAGTCTAGAAAAAAAGTGATGGAAGTTGATTATTTGATTTCCAGTGAAATATCTAACAATGATGGCCACAACGGGCACATGGTAATACAAAAGTGTTTTAAATGAACGTGATTGGCTCCTATGGGAAGGCATTTGCCTGGGTCTAATGTCATGGGCTCAGTCTTCAATTATTAAAATATGATATTTAAAATTGCTAGCACATTGTCTTTGCTCAATATTCTCTATGCTGTATCTCTTCATTGTTCTCTCATTTCCTCTACTGAAGTCTGATTTAATATATATATATATATATATATTATTATTATTATTATTAATTTCAGAAAGGCAAGGAGAGGGAGAAGAGAGAAATGTCAATGATGAGAATGATCCATAGGCTGCCTGCTGCATGCCCTCTACTGGGGATGAAGCCTGCAACCCTTGGCATGTGTCCTGACCTGGAATCAAACCATGACCTCCTGGTTCATAGGTGGATGCACAGCCGTCTGTACAACACCAGCTGGGCTGATGTCTGCTCTTTTTTGCTTTATGGAGAAAGTTCTCTCATGTTCTCTGCCACGATTTTTTTCTATCTGTTCCTCTTGCTCTCACTTTAGCAGTTTCCTTAAAGCACTGCCTGTAATTGTTGTTGCAGAAGATGAGGAAAGTGATACTTTTTTTGCATTTTTTTTCTAAATATATTTTTCCACTTTTTTGAAAGAAGTAAAAATAATTCTGAATCATTTGGTGAAGAATGTGGAGTGAATCCAAGATAGTTTTGTACTAGTCAGTAAGACATGATCGACCACATAGAATTTTTTAATTATAGTATTAGTAAAAATATATTTTATTCTAATTAAGAAAGCATACTTGGGTCCCAACCACACTAAAGTAGACTGTACCCCCCTTACCCCCTCCCCACAACCCCATTTTGAGAGAAGTTCTAGAGGAGTTTAAGTATGCGAAAGGATAAAAATAATTTGGGAGGCTAAAAATACCAACTATATTTTTTGTGTTTCTTCAACTTAGCCTAAGCTCATAAAACCTCTTTTTTAAGAAAGGGGAGAATTCTCTTATATAAGAGATATTTTACTTTTCTGAAATTAGGATATTTCATCCTGTATTGTTATCCAACTAATTTAATTCATAACACCATTGTAGAAATATACTTATGAACTTTTTTGTCACTTCAGTATTTTTATCTCTTACTGCTATTTCAGGTGGGAAACATTAATTATTTTTATATAATTGTAAAATATTTTTAATGATTATTGAGATAATTTTATTAGTAAGTTTGCATTGTGCTCATTTTGTTCCCAAATTACATCTTTCTTAGAAATCATACCAATTAAGAATGTTATTTTCCTTATTTCTGTATCAATTCAGATGCCTAACTAGCATTTAAATGAAGTCACCATTTATATCATTAGTATTTAACAGTATATTGTAACAGTCATCATCATAATCTTTTTGTTTATAAAACTTAGATATTTGCCATTCCTGTATATCACTCTTACAAAGCACTTCATATCTATTTTATCTAAATTATATATGTGTATGTATAAGTTACTTACGATATGTACTTTCCTATAGTAGATATTTAGGGAATGCAGTATTAAGCACACCTTAAATTTGAAATTATTTGTTGATGTATTGACTATAAAAATAGTAAGACTTTTAAAGTCTATCTGTGTCTGATATTTGATCTTAAAATCTCTATTCATATTGATTGAAGTGTGGGAGAGACGCTAAGTCTGCAGGCAGGCCTTGCAGGGAACTTTTTCTGTGCAGTGTTTTCCTTTGTTCCTCAAAGCCACTGAATCAAATTTCCACCTCTTTCTTCTTCTTCTTCTTTATTTGTTTGGTCTGGATTTTATACAAACTTTATTTTTTTATTATTAAACTAGAGGCCCAATGCACGAAATTCATGCAAGAGTAGGCTTTCCTTCCCCCGGCTGCCAGCAGTGGCTTCCCTCTGGCACCCAGGACCCGGGCTTCCCTTGCAGCCCTAGCTTCATCCGGGAAGGTTGTCAGAATGACATCTGGTCTAATTAGCATATTACACTTTTATTATTATAGATGGATAGCTAGAAGACATCAGCCTTGTTCTACTTGATATTGCTAGATTTGTCCTTGGATTTTTTTGTGGATATTGATTTTTGAGCATACACACACACACACACACCCCAAATGAGAAATCTCCATTTATCCAATGGCTTTCATTGACCTCTGACATTAATGATTACAATGGAGCCCTACCATAGTCTCCTCTGTTGACTTGTACCACACAGAAACAAGGTATCACAGTTGGAGACAGACAGTCATTTTAAATATTTTCTCCCAGGTGGCTTCAATGAATCTAAGTCTAGAAGAAACTGTTTAAAGCAGATCCTATTTGTAGAACTTTAAAAACTACTCTGAAAGCTTATCCATTTTAATATATTTCTGAGCCTCCATCAGTCAGTATTTGGGAAGAAAGCATTTAAATGCTTGCTCTTAAGTTGTCATTTTTTCCATAAAAGTTTTATGTATCTTATTTTGATGTCTCATTATCAAACACAAACATCTATTATTGGTCTGAGCCATGTTAATACAGTGACAGTCTCAGGAGCTATGGAGGTTTATGGGGCTATTTTATCTTCTTATAAATTGCCTCAGAGCAGTGTGCTTTTTCCTGATCAAGCTGTCACTTCTCAGTGCTGTCTGTCTCCAGATACTAGTCAATCTGCTCCTACAATTTTCCTGGTTCTAAAATGCCGAGGGATTAGAGAACAGATATTAAATATATCCTTTATAGAGAGAGTTTCTCAAAGACTCTCCTAGCATAAAGAACATTTTAACAAATAAACTGTGATGTCTATTTCTGGTGGTTTTTTAATAAGAATTTTTCAGTGTTTTTATTGATTTTATAGAGAGAGGATGGACAAGGGAGAGAGAGAAACATCAATGAAAGAGAACCATCCATCAGCTGCCTCCCGCACACTCCCTACTGGGGATTTGGTCTGCAACCTGGGCATGTGCCCAAACCAGGAATCTGTCCTGTGAGCTTTGGGTGCATGGGACTGCACTCAGCCAACTTAGCCACACTGACCAGGACTCTAATAATATTTTTCTGTGAAGGCTTCTTTTACTTGGTTGTTGTCACAAGGTTTTAACCAAGAACTCAGACCTAGTTTGGGGAAGTATTATTCTACAGTTCTTTTTTTAAAAGTTATTTTTATTGATTTCAGAGAGGAAGGGAGAGGGAGAGAGAGATAGAAACATCACCAATGAGATAGAATCATGGATCAGCTGTCTCCTGCACACCCCCTACTTGGGATCGAGCCTGCAATCTGGGCATGTGCTCTGAACAGGACTCAAACCATGACCTCCTGATTCATGGGGTGACACTCCACCACTGAACCACACCTGGTAAGCCTATATTTTTTAATGTGGCATTTTACGTTGATCAGTTTACATGTCCGTTTAACAATCCTTGTGCCCCTAGAATGAACCCAACTTGATTGTGATGTACTATTTTTTAATGTATTGTTAAAACACTGTTGTTTTTTGCATGCGGATTTTGTATCTTACAATCTTTTGGAATTCATTTGTTTGTTCTTACAGTTTTTTGATGGAACCTTTAGGATTTTCTTTGTATAAGGTTATGTCATGTTCGAACAGAGGCAATTTTGCTTTTTTCCTTTCCACTTTGTGTTCTCTTCATTTCCTTTATTTTTATTTATTTATTTTGCTAATTGCGATAGGACTTTCTGTACTATGTTAAATAGAATGGTTAGAGTGGACACTCTGGCCTTGTGCCTGGTTATCTATATTTCACCAATGAGTATATCTGCGGGCTTACAGGAGATGACAAACAAAAGAACGCTATTGTAAGAGTTTTATACTCTAAATGAAATTGTGTAATATTATCTGAATGTAGAATGTGGCATGTAAAACAAATAATTGATTCATAAGCATTATTAAAATAACAAGAGTTATAACTAATAGGCCAAGAAAAAAAGATCATTTGTAATATTTTCCATTTTTATTATAATAAAAATATCACTGTAATAAGAAACTGTGAGAAAATATTTAATTCAAAAACAGTGCAGAAATAGAAATTAAAGATAGGAGGCAAAGTATAGTGGGACAAATAGAAAACAAAACGGGAGATTAGAGACTTAAAACTAATCATCTTAAAAATCATGTTAAATGTAAACCAGGGGTTAGTACACCTTTTCTGGAAATGGACAGATAGGAATTGATATCTCAAAATGTAGGAGAGTTCTCCAGGAGGTCTCCGCCAATATATACACACACAACCATACAAATGGACAGTTTAACAAAGGATCAGGCCTATAGTTGCCAGGAGATGGGTTTTTGATGGTCAGGAAATGATATA